TAGCTCTCTCTCGGTAAAGCTTTCCAGACAATCAGACCCTTCTGACAACAACAAAAAGTACCACTACACGAATGAGTCCTTGTATACATTTAAAAAGTATTCTAGAATATTCCGAAAGTCTACAACGCAGTTATTTTGGTAGCATTACATCATGACTATACATGCTAGTAAAATTTTCTGAAAACATCCATAGTGTGAATATAGAAAGTTCGTGTATGTATGTCAGCATGATTATGCATTCTAGAAATTTCTAGAAAATTATTTTTACATTTGGCATACAAACAACCCCGACAGCCGGTAAAACTCAATAAACTCTAAGATCAAAGCACTTCCTCTTTGAACACGTATTACCATTCAGGGCCCAGTTGTGGTGCTCAGAGGGTGGGTAACACTATCCAAAGGATGGATCACTATCCAGCAAATAAGTGTAAAGAAATAGAGAATGATACTTCATTAATGAATGAAAATAAATAAGACTTCATTAATGAATGAAAATAAATGAATCGACAATCCCCAAAAAACAATCGTAGAATGCGTTGGTGCTAACTCTTAAGATGGAAAAGTGCGTTGAATCATGATTACAAAACAATGGTCGTAATTTTCTTCATACCGACAGCCGGAAGAAGTCTTTTAGGTAAACGACCAAAATCGGCCAGTGACAAATCTTCCAGTTGTCGATTTTAATTCTAAGCCGCGAGAAATGCCAACACCAAAGCCACTGAATGCGTAACTTTCGGTTTTTCTTTTAGTATATTGGTTTTTTTCCCCTTCTAGGAAATTTTGAACCTCACAGATCGTAACAGTCTGTCAGCGATACGGGCATTTTAGTGTTTTAGCCGCCACAATCCGAGAAAGGTCCGACAAACGACCGTGTATTGAGAATCGTGAAGACTTTGCCATTCATTCATCAACCTAACCGAGTGGCGCCAAAGGCGAGTGACGTGTCAGCAGCTGACTGTTTATATCAACACACGTGAAAAAATACGTTATTTTTTCACGTGCGTTGTTACGGCTTTTCTCAGGACCGGAAATCCCTGTACAACACCGCAGTTTATGTGATGAAACGTATTCCGCTATCCACCAGATAGAGACTCATCCAGTGGATAGCGATATCCATCCTTCCAACAACCGGGGCCAGGAAGTTAAAAACTCATGTACAATTCA